AGACTATTAAACCTGAGGGGAGTATGGTGGTAACCTCTGAATTTTAGCCAGTTGGTTAGAAGTGTGAGTGGCCTGGGGACCCCTGAATTGGCAGCTAGCATCTGAAATTCGGGTGGTCTTGCTGGGGACTATGCCCTTAACCCGGGAAGTATGTGCTAACTCAAGGTAGTTAGTGTCAGAGTTGCAGTGCAGCGCTACAGCCCGCCTGCCACTACAGAGCTCTACTAGGCTGTACATCAGGCACCTGCCCACCTAAGGCTGCTTGCACTGTTACCTTAGCCTGGAACACTCTTCCTCTGGGATCTTCACAGCTGGCTCCATCACCTCCTTCAAGCCTTTGCTCAAATGCTACCTTCTTACTGAAGTCTCCTCCAACTGCCTTACAACTGCACCGCCACCCCCCCCACATCCCACCCACCCTCCTTTCTTCCCTACTTCATTCTCCTTCCTACCACTTATTTTCTGATACATTATGTAATTTGCTTACGATTCTGCTTATTAAATATCTTCCTTTCCTAATAAGCTTCACGTGGGCAAGAATTTTCCTATCTTTGGTTCACTGTTAAATGTGTGGTGCTCAGAACAATGCCTGGCACATAATATTCACCAAATATTAGCCAAATTGGGTAGAATCTATACCTATATGCACACACACACGTGTATTATAAGTGATACAATAAATTGAATTCATGCTAATCATCTATAAACTCTGCTACGTAATATATTAAGCTACCCTGATTTCCACATTTCAAAAACCCATTCCATATGGGAAGATTTTATATCTCACTTAAGGAAGAAGGAACAGCAGTACTGATTTTCCCATAGGTTTTTAAAAACTAATCATAATGTAAATTATCTTCTGACTTCTAATATTATCCTTAGAATAATTCTATTGAAAGGCTATTAAGTATGAAATGAACACAAAAAAAGGTATTAAGACATAAGTTTAGCTAAGGTGACACAAAGATTGAGAGGCAAATCTATAAAAGAAGAAATTTTGTGTTCTCCAGAGCTAATAAAGTCAAAAGCTTAATAACCTCAGTTTTCAATAGTTGGGCAGGAGCTCTGTGGTCCTACCAGTGAGATGTCCCAGTTATCATATCGATGGGATGCCCTGCAAGCAAACAAAAGGCAGTGACTGAATTAGTTGGCCCTAGTGCACCTTCACAGTGAAACTAACTGCAGAGCTTGATTCTGTCTTTGATCAGGATGATACCAGTTTCACCCCGACCTCCTGACAGCGGTTTGCCTTTACTCACTACCCTCCGCTAAGCTTACAAGATGTGGCTTCTTTCAATTCCATTGCCTGCACTCCTTGATAAGGCTGCTGGTTTTGTTTGGCTTTGTTCTGATTATTTGATTAAGATTCATATGAATTCAGACAAATTCTTATTCAGATCTGTTTTAGGTCTCCAAGAAAAGTTGGACTTAGGATTTCACAGTGATTCTGCCTATTGAAACATGAAGCTAAGTCACCCACACAACCGTTTTTTTTTTTTTTTTTTTTTTTTTTTACTAAAAGCTTTATCCATTTGTTTATTTTTCCAGAGCTATCTCAAAAAAAAAAATCTAGCTTTAGGCAGCAGAGAATCATATAACATCAGTATCTATTTTATTTTAGTTACTCACAACACTTACGATAATGGAAATCTAGAGAGACAACCTTTAGCCACCCACATACCAAATTATTACTCAAATTTGGAACTAGATTTTGGAATTACCTTCACATCAAGTCTTTTTCCACAATAATACTCACTTCATTGGCTTTCCCTGAGTAGATATTTAACTTTCCAAGGACTTCTTTGTTTAAACCCCAAGAATGCCTGCCACATAGTAGGCTCTTAACTTGTGCTTGGTATGGGGAATTGAACACGCAGATTGCAGAGGCACACAAACCTCAGTGCATATGCCTTGTGGCCGCACGGTAAGAGGAAGGTCCTATCTGTACCCTCCTGTATTCGGGGGCATAGGACAAAATAGGATCAGTGCATAGGACAAAAGAACATGTGTTGTCCTCCTCTATGGCACTGCTCCCCTGCTGCAGAAAGAGACTAGCCCTGCCAAAGCTGGACATTGGGCCTGAGGCTGCCCTACCTTTGCCGTCCCTGAGGACACACATAAAGATTATTATAGCTTTTCCTTTCTTTTTCTTTTGGCCTGAGAGCTTTCAGGCAGCTATGCTACTGGTCTTTTTAGCTAGAGAGGTCCCTAGTAGCATAACTTAGTTGGGAAGAGTAAGGACCTGGAAATCAGAGAGATCTTATTTCAACTCTGTCCTCTGCAATTATTTATCCTCAGGCAGAATTTGGATGCCTAAGGCTCTAAAGTGGCCAGAATTAATGACTAAAATGACTAAGGTGCTCTCTGGCACGAATACAAATTAAAGTGCTGGATGGAGGTTCAGCTATGCAATGAAACAAGTAGAATGTGGCTTGACATCACATCAGAAAGCCCCAGAGAGTTCAGGTGATCGCAAGCTAACCATGAGCCCATATGGCTTGGCTGGTACTTAAAGAAACCATGATTACATTTTGGCTGCATTTGAACACATTTGATGCCTTTATTAAATAAGCTTATATTCTCTATGCTATTTGAAGCCTTCAAGGAGTACTGCATTCAGCTCTGGGTTTATTTTGAGGAGGATATTGCTGACCAAAGTATTCAGAGAAAAGTAATCAGGAGAGCAGGGTGGTCTTAAGAGAAACAGTTGAAGAAATCTTCCTAACAGATCTGGAAAAACCAGCTCTTGGGAAGTGTAGAGCCTCATTCTTCAAGCATCTACAAGGCTGACAGGTGGAGGAGATCCCTTCTGTATCTACTGACTCAGCTAACATATCTTGGGCTTCTACGACATTCAGAGCACTGTGATAAGTGCTGTGGGATACAGAAATTAGTGATACAGAGGACACTGGGTATGTGACCTTAAGCAGTTTCTTAACTCGTTTTAACTTGGGGTTTTTTATTTGTAAAGCAACACTGCAGAGTTTTTCTGAGGGTTAAATGAGATAAATATCTGTAAAAAGAATGAGAACTCAGTAATTGAAGGAAACCACCAAGATAGGGGAAGGCAACTTTTCAACTGGATTTCAAAGGGCAAAAGGGAGTTTGCTGGGTAGTGATGGGGAAAAGGAAGAAGAACATTCCAGGTTGATGAGTATGAGCAGGGACGGAGATACTGAAAATAAATGGCTTTCGGGAGACCAGCAAATAGTACTGTGTGGGTGGAGTACAAAGGAGGGATAAAGCAATGAGAAGGCTGGAAAGATACAACAAACCTAGAATGACATGCCAAGGAGTCTCTGGGCATCAAGTGAAGGAGTCAAGTGAATACAGGAAGCTCAACCTGTGTACAAACACATGATTATACAATTGAAGACTGAAACCAGGAAAACAAATTAAAACGTCACTGTTAAGAGTCTAAGCAAGAGATTATGAGGCAATGGCCTAAAATAATGGTGGTGGCATTGAAAGCAGGTGACAAAACGTGGGATACGAGGAGTAAAAAGGTGAGGAGCAAGTAAACGACAACTCCATGTGTTAAAGGAGAATGTTGATGCCATGAACTAATACAGGAGACACAGAAGAACAGATAAAGTTGACTCGGAAGATGATGAGGTCAGTTGTGGGATAACACTGGATTTCAAGTGGCTGTGGAATAACCATAAGGAAATCCATACCAGCAATTTGGAAATACGGTTCTGGAGTCCATGAGAGGAATCAGGGTCAGAGACAGAGATCTGAGAAGAGGTGTACTTAGTAAGAGTATATTGTCAAACATAAACAAACTTGGGTTTGAACTCTGCCTCCAGCACTAACTAGCTGTGTGGCCTTGGACAAATTATTTATCATCAAAGCTTTAATTTCCTTAATTGTAAAATTGGGAAAATTATACATACTTCAAAGACTTTGCTTATTGCATACCATCTGGTTGCCATTTGTCACCATCACTGTCTACCATAACCATCATTGCTGAAACCATTAAGGTAGATGAACTTGGCTAGGAATTGAAAGTAATTAAGAAGAAAAAAGGGTTGAAGAATGAATCTTCAGGAACAATTATTAAGGGATACATGGAAAAACAAACACGAAAGCAGCTCAGGAACAGTCAAGAAGGTAGGCAGAAGACCAGAACAGCAAAACACCATGAAGGACAAGAGGAGGATTTCAAGGAGGATATCCTCAGACACAAAGAAGTTGGGGAGGAAAAAGAAAAAAAGGGCATTGGATACAGTGATTTGAAGGTTATCCTTGTTTATGGAACTATTGTATATGTGGTGGGAGTGGAAGGCAGTCACAAATGAAATAGGATTCAAAATGGATTTTCACCCAGACTGTAAGGGGGTGTGTATCAGCTACCGAAGTGAATTTTAAGACTGATCACCTGCTAGAAATTTCAGAGTAGATATAAACCAATGACATGCCTTAGTTTTCTTAGCCATTTCAAAGGTAGAAAATGCTTAATGTTATCAGAGAGAGAGAATTTGTGAGAAGGACTTCTTTAGAGAGAGTTTTTCTATGAATTCCCTCATTCCAAAGGAGGGGAGATACTTCTCTTCATCTCAGTTAGGGCTTCACTGGGAGATCTGAAAATACTGGCCAGCATCATCTGCAGATGGAGGGGAATAACACACTGGTGTTGGAGTGTTTGGCTTTCCCTGGAGAACCACTGGCAGCAGAGTAAAGGAGGCTGGATTGCATTGGGTGGCCTTTTGTCGGGGGCGAGGCGGGGGGCAGGACGTGTGTGAGTGTATTGATGGATCTGAGAGTGTGAGTTGGCATGTGGCTCATTTAAATTCTTCCCAAGAGGATCATCTGAGGCCAACAGGGAGAGCTTTGGCAAACAAGAACTGAGGGAGAAACACCCAAAACTGGAAGAAACTGAACTGACCACATCAAAAAAGAAGAGTGGAATGTTCCCAATGAGAGTCCCTGAAGAACCCTAAAAACACCCATAAGCAGAGTTGGCTTAATATAACATCTGCTAGCCCTGACAGCCTGAAGCCATCTTACAATAGTGTGGTCATGTAAGGACTCCTCAACTCGCCTTTCTCATCACCCTGCTCTTCGCCACTCTTTTGTATTCTAGCCCTGAAAGGATCAAAAACAATAGGGAGGAGGTAAGTAAAAAAGGAGAACCCTACCCCTTTCTTTCAGAGAAAGGACTTATTACTTTGGGCCCTGGGTGGGTATGGAAAAAGGATTCCAATTTTGAATGACTATTGAATGGGGCTAGATATTTTCATTTCAGGACTGAGATGGTGATTTGTAGCTAGAAGAGTCCATAATTCTTTTTTAGTATCTTGGGAGAGAAGAGAAAAGTCTCGAGATTTGTGCCTCAGCATCATACAGTGGCAAAAGAAAAATCTGCACTACTATATAATTTTAAAAAGTTAGTAGAAGATAATTTTTTAATGAAAAAAACTCCCCTTAACACATTCTTATGTTTAAAAAGCGAATCAGGACGAGGACATGGAGGCCTCAAGGACAGTAGTTTAGCTTTGTTTTGTTTTGTTTTTTTGTAATTTTGCCTTTTAAAGCTGTTTGGCAGAGAAAGGGTGCTGTGGTTTGATAAGATGTTAGAGATGACTAAAGGCTGTTTGAGGAGAGGAGAAATTCAGTTGTGGCTGCAGGTTGAGGAGAAAGAGACAGCGAAGATAGGGTAAAATAACAGATTCACAAGAAGAGGAAAGGAACACTGATAAGGCAAGGTCACAAAGAAGAGGGAAGACAAAATCAAGAACTTTGCATTTGCCCTTAAAAAGAACTAGAGGCTCTTCTTCCTTTGAAACATGGAGGGGAGGGGTAGATACAGAGACATTTTGGTTTAGGAGGAAAGGCAAATAAAATAGTTTACAGTGAACCACTTTGATCATCCCAGTGGTCTACAACACAAGCTCATCTTCTGCAAATGAAGGCAGTGGGTTTTATTACCCTGAAGGACAGAACCAGGACCTCTGTGTACAAGCTAGGGAGAGATTAATTTGAGGCCCCAGTAAGAAAGAACTTATTAAAAAAAATCAGTGTTGGCACACAGTGGCCTTCAGATATAGTTGTAAACTGCAGAACAGAGGGTTTTAGCTGGGGATGGAGGAGCAGCTGTCTCAATGCGTGGGAGGGTCACCTGCACTAGACAAGGCAGTGGGCTGGTGGCCTCCAAGACTCCTTGTGTGCGCACTCATTGTCAATGTTAAACGTGTAGGGTATTTCCACATTAACGATTCAGGTATCACTGTAACTGAATGCAATAAATAGAAGGCGTGAGGACCAGAAGAGAAAGTGTAAAGGGAAGACTGCATGTGTTATGCAATGACTTGCCTTCCTAAGTAGAAAATCATCTATTCGTTGCAAAGGAACTAGCTTGGGCTGGAGTTAGAGCTTGTCTCCAAAGCATAATACTCTTTATGTCTCCATAGCTTGGCAGCTATGAAATTTGAAAATATCACTATGTTCTGGGGAACTTTGTATTTATGCATGAGTTGAAGTGTAGCTATGGTGGAGAAAGTCTCAGAACCCCTCTAGTTTTACCACTGCTAAGAGGTGAATGGGAACTTGCTGACAAGAGCAAAGCACATTACCAATGTACTCTTTGGAACTCAAAACAAACAAAACCCTTAAAACCCTCTAGTTCAAGCATCAGGCTGCATTCTATAAATCAATGCAGTCAAGATTATACTAGATTTCTGCAGGACAGTGAAATGTTGACAGCCATCAGGTTTTGTTTCGATTTTTTAAAAATAAGAACTATATGTTCCTAGAATTAACATTTATTGAAACAATAAAATATTCTAGCATGAAGTACTATGCATCTCAAAGAAATGTGCCCACAGATTCAATTTAAACTGGTCACATAATCCAATTAAAATTTAAATCTATAAAGAGAAGTCAGGATGTTGTGACCCCAATAGTCATTTCCCACAATATTTTCCCAAAGGAATAAAATACACTACAGCAATGAGTATCAAGCAATATTTTGAGTCAAAGTTGAGTACCAGAGATTCTTTGACATCTTTAGACATAAACAATATTAAAAGTCATATGATGTGTCACATTTCATATAAGTGTCAAGGCTGATAGTTGTTTGTGCCTAAACATACTACCTGGCACATGCTAAGTTAGCTTGGTCTATTGAATAAATGAATGGAAGCATGAAAGAATGAATGAATTTTGTTAGCAGTAGCTCAAAATCTACTCTGTGAGGAGGCCTGGTCTCTTTCCAGACTCTGAGGATTTTCCTGGTGTTCACAATGACCTTGTGGTTTCCCAACATCACCAGCCCCAGGACAGGATGGCAGGCCATCAAAATTGATGTGGACATTCATGCTGGGATCTCTGAACGTTATCTATTTGAAAAGTCTGACTGGCTCTAAATGTAGTTTGGTTTAATCTTCCAGAGATTCCCTCCAGAAAAGAATGGATATTTTCAAAGGTCCTTTCATTCCCTCTTACCTCCACCACAGGAATAAAAGTTGAGAGTAGGAAGAAAGCAATAGATAATAATTGCCTTTTGGTTCTAAAGAGCACCCAAAGCCAATCTTGGTGACATCTGCCTCCAATTAAGGGCAAATGAATCTACGTGGCTGAGTCCAGCTGCAATCCACTATGAGGGATATTTCAGCTGAGGTGTCATTCACTAACATCATTCACTAAGTAATAAGGAACACAGTTTTGAACGTGCTTTGACATTTATTATCTTATTTGAGGTCCATTACAACTCAGGAAAAAAAGGTGTTTCACAGAATAGGAAACAGGCTTGGAGATACAAAGACCACACAGCAAGTAGGCCATGGAGCTTGGACTACACCTGTCTTCTAACCCTACACCAGTCTGTTTTTACTATTCTAGGTTCTAACTCTATTTTCTTACCACCCAGAGTTGGGAAAAACACTCAGGGATCATTGCTTGGGGAATGGTGTCTAATGCAGCTTCTATCTCATCTCATTCAGGACATGGATCCCCGGAAATGGGTCATGATGGAGTATTTCTAGAAAAGTTTACCAAGTGGATTCTGGGCACCCAACACCAGGGGGCCCATAAGAGAAGCCAAGGATGTTCCTACTAGAGTCATATACACAAGAAGAACACCACACTCCAGACAGGTGTGTCTAGTACAGAGAGAAGCCGGACTGGCATTCCCCAGAAATAGGACATTATGCACACACATGCATGCACACGGACACACACACACACACACACACACACACAAACACGGTATTCTAAAAGTCTTAGTGCAGTTTTAAACTTTCATAACTTTGAAAGTATGAATGCTACCAACTTACAAAAATCATGTGAAAGGCCAATTATTTAAATGTTGTCTATTCTTCTATGCTATACTTATTAGAGTTCTACAATCTTTTGTGAATTTTGAAGAACGTTTTTAATTTTAACTTTTTGTTTCAGTCAACATTGCCATGTTCAGTCAGAGGTGCTGAAAGGTTTTATAATATATGACATGCCTACAATCCATACAGCAAATGAGCCATATCATACAAGAAACGTGCAACTAAAATCTTTGCGTGTTCTACTGTTAAAACTACATCACTCCAAACTAAGATTGTAGCACTGGCTTTCTTTTAAATTAAAAAAAAAAATACCTAAAACACTACTTTTTGTTAATACCAATTCAATCTTATCTTCTTGGATTCAGTTCATTCTGCTAAAATCCTTATGGATCCTTGTTTTCCTACCAGATGATTTCATCCACACACCATCAATGTTCTCAAATGGACATTTCTAGCCACACTAAACTATACAGAACCCACATCAGAACCCCATTGGCATGACTTTCAGCACATAGTCCCTTCTATCAGCATGACCTTATGGGCCAACTCTAATAGAGATTTCCTCCACACACTGACATCAATCTATAAATCAATACCTCTTGGACAAGACAGTTCTAGCAATTAAAAACACAATGACCTATGTCCTTCAGACCATATATTTTTATCTTAGTCAAAAGGATTTCAAGAGAAGTTCTGTCAAGTGTACCAACGCACTGCTCACATGATCTCACAGCATTCTTCTGACCTACCAGGTGAGTGACCCTACCTATGAAAGGTCAGACCAGGGGCCAGTCTTGTCACAGCTCTGTTGTCTATGTATTCTACTAATTAATATAAAGCTGTAATTGTACAAATTGAAAGACAGGTCAAAACAAACAAAAATGAGTTTACTTGTAACTCAAGTTCAAATAAAATCCAGACAGCTTCAAACATCTTTTTGTGGGTTGAATTGTGTTCTCACAAAAGATATACTGAAGTCCTAACCCTAGCACCTGTGAAGAACCTTATTTGGAAATAGGGTCTTTGCAGATGTAACCATGTTAAAATGAAGTCATACTGGATTAGGATGGACCTTAATCCAAAACTGGTGTCCTTACAAGAAGAGGACAATTTGGACACACAGAGAAGGCCTCATGAGGTTGGAGGCAGAGACTTGAGTAATGCTGCAGTAAGCCAAAGGATTCCAAGGACTGCCAACAATCACCAGGAACTAGGATTATAGCTTAAGGATTCTTACCCAGAGCCTTTGGAGGGAGCATGGATTTTCCTGTACCTGGAATTTGGACTTTTGGCCTCCAGAACTATTAGAGAATCAATTTCCGTTGTTGGAAGCCACCAACACTAATTTATGGTGTTTTGTTACAGCAGCCTTAGGAAACTAATAAAATATCTATGCAAAAATTTGTAAGTTTGAAGTAATGCCTATTAACATCAGAATCAAGAGTACTCAGGACTTGGTAAAAAGAGAGTGGGAGAGATATAACTAAATTCCTGAGCAGGTGGCAGGTCCAGCAGGGGTGAGGTAAATGGGTGAAGAGACCAGCCAAGCAAGTTTGGGGGTGTTGGTTTGAGGCTGGGGGACAGACAGAAAGTGATACCCCAGGACAGGCTCATCACCAAGGAGCTAACTGTCCCCCTGCCCAGGTGTGAGGTGGGCATTTCTCCACAAAATCCTGTCGCTTTTTAATGACAACAAAAATCACCAATTTGTCAGCTTATCATCAATATATAAGCAAAACTATGTTAAGCTTCCTGTCTCCAATTTGGCATTTCCCTTGCCTATGCTTCATCGTTCTAAATGAGACAGCAGCCCATGCAGGGGAAGGAGCTGTTGGCCTGTCTCTATATATAGTGCTGTATCCACCAATTTTCCAAGGTGCTAAGATTCCACTGATTGATGACGATATTGCTAAAATGGGTTACATTTTAAGATGGAAAAAGGAAGGCATTTTTTTTTTTTTTGGTTTTTCTTCCCATGTGAAAATTTAGGGGAAGAAGGATGCTCCCTCACAGTTTCTAATATTGATCCGGCTCCAATGTAGCCCATGAAATATAAGTCTATAATGGCAGGATTCCTCATTGGAGAGACCTTACTAGCGGTCTCCAGGAGCTTTCCCAGCAATAATTAGGGGGATGTATTATTGCTAATCCTGAGCACACCAGGAGCTGGGTTAATTTTGAAAGATAAAATAAAAGTGCTGCCTTGTGGCAAAAGGCCACTTCTTGATGCCATTAAATCAAGCCCAGCTCTGCTTGAGTATTAATTCTAAAGATGTCTGTACCCCCTGCTGATACTCCTTTTAGGAAGCTACTATGGAACAGGCCAAATGAAGCCTCAATGTGCAAATACCATTTAGCAAGTACAGATAAGCTGGGATAAATCATCTCAGAGCACTTAAAAAAAGATTCAAATTTTAATACATTAGCACTAGAACATGCTGTACAAGCAACAGGGAAATTGCAGTTGTCAATGTGTGAATTTAGTCTCAGAGTAAGTTCATCCAAGGAAGTAAAATCTCAATTTAGATTCTTTTTCTACCCCTTCCCCCAATCCGCGTGTTTCTCTTAGGATGGGGGAAGATACTGTTACTCAGCAAATGGATTTCACACCACAAAACGGTTAGGGTATATTCATCAGAGGTAAGAATGTGAAGTTCTCACTTTCTTACTGAAATAGTTTGAAGTGGTCTTTCAAAGTGCCAAACCATAAATGACGGGCGTGGTGTTTTGATGTATCATTATGCATGTATGTAGATAGATATCTATCTACCTATCTGCCAGCATTCTTTTTAATGAGAAAGGTTTCGAAAGATAAATCATGATGGGTTTTCTGGTATTTTTCTGTTGTATTTTCCAGAAAGCTTGTCTGCCCACTGTCACAGGGGAATGGGATGGGAATGGTCTGGTGTGAGAGCACAGTGTAAGAGAGGGAAAGCCCAGGACAGAGGCCTCACCAGGAGGGGTTAGGTTGGAGAGAGACCCCAAGTCCAACTGGAGGCTGGATAGAGACCTTGACAGCTCCCAGGTCAACAACACTGATTTGAAACTGAAGTGTATTCCAGTTGGAATTTGACAGGTTATTTTCTATCAAAGCAACAAACGAAACATTCATTTCAGAATGCATCTGTTCTTTCAGACTATTCTACCAGAAGCAGCTATTTTCTTTAAATTGAAAGTCAAGGCAGTTTATTTTTCTCAAAACTGTGCTGTCAGTTCCACCGCCTGACTCCTAACATTCTCTTGTTCTGTTACAGCAAAGCTTTCTCACCTTGTAGAAGGAAGGGGTGGGTGAGGGACAATCCTCCCTGAGGGCACCCTGTGCATGGTATATTTATATAAATCTTTGCCCCCAAAGGGCACATCAACCAGAGATAAAGATGGAATGTATTTAGAGAGAACTTATTTAGAGAGAAGGAAATATTTTCCAGTTAGTTTCTTTGAACCAAAATAACTTAAATCTCTTCAAATGACACTTCTGTCATATTATCTATCTGTCTATCTGTCTAACATATCATATCATATATGTACTTTCATTGGGAATTTGAAGTTCTTACAACTCAGGGGCAAATCTCTAATTCTTATCCCTCCCTATATATTCTAAGTCATTTTTAAATGATGAAATAAGGGATCCCTGGGTGGCGCAGCGGTTTGGCGCCTGCCTTTGGCCCAGGGTGCGATCCTGGAGACCCAGGATCGAATCCCACATCGGGCTCCCGGTGCATGGAGCCTGCTTCTCCCTCTGCCTGTGTCTCTGCCTCTCTCTCTGTTTCTGTGACTATCATAAATAAATAAATAAATAAAAATTAAAAAAAAATTAAAAAAAAATAAATGATGAAATAATTATACTACATTTAAATGCACAGAGATGATATGCATATATGTGTATTAATATAGACACTGTATGTGAATGTGCATCAGCAGTGGGAGAGCATGACCCTACCTCTCATCCCTTACCCTGTCTTGTCAGTGCTTAAGTATTTTCCATCCACTTCGTCAAAAGCTCACCAATTTGTTTCTGCATGCATTTAAGCAGAAAATTCATTACCACTTCAAAAAGCATTTCCAACTATCTGGTGTCTGAATTGTCCATAAATATGTAATATTTCCCTAATTAAATTAGATGTAATATGATTAAGGAGAGGTCTCTTTTGTCAGCGCAATAATCTTTACTGTGATGCTGTTAAGGTTCTGAAATGACTTACAGCATCAGAAAAAAATCATTCTTGAAGTCACAACCTTTTGCATTAACTTCCTGAGACACATCTTTCCCTCTTAATGGACTGTCTCTTCTTTATCTATTACAAACAATCACATTTCAATTTGAATCGAAGGACACCACCTTCCTCTTTTTTGGTCCCTTACAGATGCTAATATAGACATACAAATTCCATAGTAGTTCAAGGAAAAAGGATGCCAGGCCACCGTCCTAGTTAGGAACCAGAGGAAGCTAGTGAAAGCTCTATCTAGAAACACACTCAATAACTTTATGATTACAAATCTCTCAACTACCTATGTTGACAAAAATAGATAATTAAAAATGTGCATCTTGGAAATCTGCATTTTGGTTTTCTATAAAGCATTGATTTAGTTATTAAATGATTATAAATTAGCCATTGGTGATTTTCTCTTCTGAATGATTTAACCTTTCCAATTATCATTTCATCTGTTTTCTATATAAAAAAAATCAAAGAAATTCGAGATATGGAAAAGACATGCTGGGTGAGGATCTGAAACTGATTTGGTAGCTTTGGGGTTGACATAATCTTGGCCTGGTGCAGCTCATTTTGGAAAGCTGCCTCAAATTTCCCCTGGTTTTGAACTTTTTTTTCCTTACCACTTTCATCTAGCAAGAAATCATCCTGGTAACGGAACTTCTCCGGTCCACATGCAATAAAAATGTCATCGTCACCAAAAAAGTCCTGAAGGCACATCACCTACAAGAGAAAAGCATGGCACTCAGCAAGGGGTCAGCAGAACAGCAATTACAACATTGCATCCCTGCAAGTAGACATCTGCATAAAGCCACTTCCCACGTCTAATGGAATCAACAGGACAGCTTTCTCTAGAGGAATTTCAAAAGAAGGTTTCCAGCATCTGTTACTAGTAAGAAACATGTTACATTTCAGTTGTGCAGGAAGACGGGATAAGGAAAGTAGAACCGGTAACTGTCACATTTATTACTTGACATGTCAATAGGCTATGAGGTAAGAACCCTTTATTTTTCACAATACAGTGGATGCAGCGACATGTGGGAAAGGAACACCCCTTTATTCATTTGAATGTAAGATTCCTCGAAAGCAATAAAAGCCAGCATAAGATTTTAACAACAAATATAGTATACATGCGGTGATCACTGTTTGGGGTAACTATTGAAAAAAATTATCTGTATCATAATATGCATTTAAGGATTCCGTTAGACCCATTCTACCTCTAGTTGAAACAAAAGTGAAAGTTCTCATAAAAGGAATGATCTTATTTCTAAGATTCAGATACAGAGACTGGGCAACAGTATGCTCACCACTCAAGTCATGCCAAACTTTAAAACTCCTGTGCTGTCCAGTTTCTCGTAGTTATGCAAAAGAAAAGTTTTATTTTATTTTATTTTTTTTAAAGGATGCACTTTATTTTTTTATTTTTATTTTTTTTATGATAGTCACAGCGCGCGAGAGAGAGAGAGGCAGAGACACAGGCAGAGGGAGAAGCAGGCTCCATGCATCAGGAGCCCGACGTGGGACTCGATCCCGGGTCGCCAGGATCGCGCCCTGGGCCAAAGGCAGGCGCTAAACCACTGCACCACCCAGGGATCCCCCAAAAGAAAAGTTTTAAAACAACCATTTGATATTTATTCAACTTATTCTCCAATAAGAACTTTAAGAGAGCTAAATGACCACAGTACCTGTGGTCAAAAGGAATAATTTCAAGCATACTACTTACTGTCTTTGGATGTGTGGTGCAATATTTTGTTTACAATATGTATGATGCCAACAGAAAGCACAGGGAACACTGCTGATTTCTATCCATTTTCAATTTCTTTTGCTTAGAGCACATTATGAAGCGGACAATTGAAGGTACCCATTCAGAGCTGCTAAAATAGACTTTTTAATAGCATTTTCCTTTGAATATCTGAGGCCCACAGACAAACCCCCCTGGAGAGTTAGATCCTTTTGGCCTGGATTTACTATGAGCTCCTACCTTTATTTTCTTTTGCAGTCATCTGCAGGGCATCTCAGATTCTGCTCTCTGTCAAAGCTTGGTAGCACTGCCCTGACACATTGACAGTACTGTAAAGCTTACAGTAGTAAGTTGGGAGAACAGAGCATTAGTTAGAGACCCCAAAGACAATGATGTGTAGCCGTCAGACAGTTTTTCCAAATAAGCTCTCATTTCCAAATAATTGCTTGGCTGAAATTTTAAGAATGACATTTCCATAATAGTTTGATGATAAACATTAATTATAAGTGAGGTACATCCATGACATATTTTTGAAAAGCTTAAAAATATAGGTGACTTAAGAAGGACATTGTAATTATCAAGGAAAACAGACTAAGGATCTTCATGAGTGGTATCAGAAGCTTTTAGTCTTCTACTTGGATTAAAAACAGGCCCTTTGAATCCAGAACCCACTCCATTTCACTCCTTCCTTTCTGTCTGATCCCAACTGTGACCCTGTTCATCTTTATCTTCACGACAAGCACCCCACCCAGCCTTTGTGATCAGTAATTGATGTCAACCCCATATAGGTCATTTTCATTATACACACCGAAGTCTTATGGAGCCTACTATATGTCAGCATAGAGCATATACACACAAAAGTGAATAAAACATGGTCTCTCCCTCAGGCAAAAATGTGAATAATTAACCTCAAAAGGCAATATTTCCTAAAGTGCGAATGGTTAAAACATTTTGTGCAGGGGGTGTGGGTGAGAGGAGGAAGGGGAGGCTTATGGCCAAATAGATTTGGTAAATACTGAGTTCATTCAATACAAACAAGTTTCTTTATTTCTGGTCCTTGCAAAAACCCTTAATGGGCTAATGTACACCACTACTCCAAAGAGGAGATAGAAAATACATTATTTCCCAAACTTACTTGATTCTGGAACTCTCCTCTTCACATAGTATCCTATGGACTAATATGTGACAAGGTTCCCTTTGGTTCTGTACTGACGGCCAGGGGTGAAAAAAAACTCAGGGAAACAACACACAATGGAAAGTAATGTTACCCACTCTCCTGGGCAGCCAGATTTCTCTAGCTGATAAACATTTATGATGGGCCTACTGTGTGCTAAGCTGTGTGGCAAACATTATGATGACAAATCTCTACTACATAAAAAATGTTCTTTTCCAAAGGAAATTGTCCTTTCATTCCACATATTCCCATCATTTGTATTCTAAAGCATCAGATTGCAAACCAGATCACATTCATCTGTGTGTGAGTGTTTTACGCTCTTGCTAAGCAGGCAGATAACTATCATCAAAACTACAGCATGGGATAAGGGGGTTGCCAGCTAACTAACCTCCTTCCATCATATGCCCATGACCATCCTTTAAGCCTGAGACTCAAAGAACAGAAGAGCCAATGATCCAGCTTGGACAGTTTAGGTTTAATTCTGTTGGCAAGTGGGAAATGAAACATGATGAACTTTTGATGTTGTTTCCAACTCCAGGATTCCAAGAACATAAAAGGAATGCAGCAATTGTTAAAGAAAAACTGTCATCGCCCAGCACAAAAAGACAGGGAAAAGTCATTTTGGTGCCAAGCAACATGTATTCATTTACCTCTCAATCTTCAGTGACTAAAACCAAAGAATTTGTTGAACTATTAGAAACTGTAATGTCTTCTGTGCTCTTTGCTCTGGCATCATTTAGCCATTTCCCTGCTCCCAACCTCCCACCACAGAAGGTGTATGGTCAGTAGATCAAATTCAAATTTATAGAATTGCTCCTTGTTAGAAGTCTTGGTAAAAGATTTGATAGAAAAGGAGGCTTAAACACAAGGTTATGATAAAGATGGATTTAGGATAATCTGTGCACTTCAATTATCCATGCTTTCACTATCATTGATCTAGAGGTGGCTGTAATGTATTCCATCTAAAAAAGAAAGAGTAACGGAAGATGTATAACCCTCTTCTGTAGGCCAATACATTGTGAGAATTTTCTTTTAGGCATTACTGGACATTCTAATATCAAAAGATTACCAATGTTTTGCACAAAGATCTGATTTTATATATCTATACAGTGTTACTCCTTTTAAAATTTGAGGTTCTCAAAATTCAGTGTGATAACAAGTTTAAAAAAACAAATTCCATGTATGGATTAACATCTTTCAGACCTGGGCCTTTTCCTGTCCTTCCTCTTACTACATCAGTCCTGAGTTTATCCTCCTACCTGTGCACCTTGGCATTTCCCTCGGGTGGATTTCTCACTCTTACCTCCTTTATCCCCAATCCATCCTGTTTAATTCTGCTAATCTATTCTTTCTTTTAAACTTTCAAAAACTCTCTCTATGACTCATAAAAACATCAATGGTTTACCATCATCAAATTAAAGTTTATCTTCTGAGTCTGGCATTCCATCCGGTTCCAACCTACTTTTCAAGTCTACAGTAGTCATGCCATGTACCTGATACTTAATAAGCATTTCTTGGATGGTTGGATGGATGAATGGATGACTGGATGTTTGGATGGATGAAGGGATGGGTGATCAGATGTTTGGATGGATGGATGGATGAATGGATGATCAGATGTTTGGATGGATGGATGAATAGATATAAGGACAAATACAAGGACTATGCTCTAACCCAAAACACATTCTAATTTATCTACTTTACATATTCTTCTCAGAAAAGGACTTCTTTCCTACTTGCATGGGTTTTTGTATGACTTTTTTTTTTCATTTGATACCCCCTCTTACCTAACTCTGCCTGTTCAAATCTCTCTATGACTCAAGGCTCAGTTGAAGATTCAAGCCTTACCTTCTCTATCCACTCCAATCCAAAGTGATTTACCCCTTCCCTGAACCCCTAGTCATCATTCAACAAATGTTTATTAAATACATATTATTTACTACCCACTGTACTAGCCCTTGAGATTACAACTACCCTAATCCTTCATCTCTTCTTTTCCAGCACATAGTGTATAGACTTACACTCCAAAGAATTCCTAACACATTGTGTATCAGTAATTCAGCAAAAAGTAAACTGCATTACCTACAAGTGGCTTATGTCATGAGGCTGGAGTCTGGTGGCTGAGTTGCAGTCTTTGCACTGTAATCACCTCTGACTTAGGCAAGTCAGGAAATCCCAGATAGCTATCTTAAAACACATCCTATTTCTAGAGATCCTACATTTAGTCAGGGTAGACATAGTGCCTCCTGTATTCCTCAGTACCACAGAGATATCTGCTCTAGCACAATTTCTGAAGAGCCCACCCTGTCATCAAAGCCCAGGTTCTGAATTAACCCAACTCTGCCACTTAGATGTTCATTTCTTTGTGCCTCATATCAAACACGTTTATCGTATACTGGTTGCTTCAAAGATTAGATGAGTTAAGACGGAATCAAAAGAGAGTAAGTCCTCAATACATATTATTTTTATTAGCTCAAATGCATTTTTACTTCCTTTTTTTTTTGCATTTTTACTTCCAAGTAAGTATAAGCCAAATGTATATCTAATATAAATGAATAAAAAAATAAAACAAAGTAGGTAGCTCCTGGGCACTATAGCAACAGGCTTCCTTTCTAAGTGAATTTAGATAAAATACAGCATATGGGTGCCCCTTCTCACCTGGAGAATAGGGATTCTACTAGTATAATTGTTTTTGTGAAAAGCATACTTGGAGTTATGCTCAGGAATATGGTGCAAAGCTGGTAGAAGTTGCTAGCATGATGCTGGATATGGTGCATGTTTCTGATTTCCAACAAGCTTCCACTGAAATGA